AAAAAAAAGGAAACATCCTGCGAGTGCTTAGATCGACCTCACAAAAAAACTCGATATTTCCAGTTTTACAAAGCCAGCGTTGTGCGCCACTCTGAGGTGTCGAAAAGACCTCACTGATGATGTTAAATGACAAATTAATATTTCCTTGTTCATGAAAATTGTTGAATAAGTAGAAATTAATTCCGCTATTGAAACAACCTTATAAAAAACATTCCTCGATTATCAACAGTTTAATCTTCTTTAGTAGACAATTATCTCAGTAAAAGCCGCCAGCCAACTACTTCTAATTCGAATCTTAAACTCTCTACAAGAGCAAATAGCTGCTTCTACGTCTTCCAGGTGATAGCAGATTAACAGTCCCCTTAAAGCCTTTATATAACCCTGACCAACAAACCTGAAGTTAAAAACAGTGAAACTTCAAATACAAATACAATCCATTTCTCCCAGCTTTTTTTTTCTTTTTTTTTTTCAGATCTATAAAGAAACCCACCAATGAAAGTGATCTGGACAACTTCCTTCTTTGCTTGTAACCAACAATTTCCTAGTACGCAAGACTTCCCTATCTAATAATGTGATATCTGTTATTGAACGGAATGAATAAAATTCTTAATGTCATCCACTTTTGAAGCGTGATTCAGCCAGAGCCTACATCAAACCAAACTTAACTCTTTAATGACAAGGAATGAACACCCAAAAGCAACCACAAATCTTTGATGGACGTTCGGGGAAGCAAACTGCTCATTTGACGGCAAGTACAAATCCTCTCTTTGGTCCCAAACTTATTTCTGACGAAAAAAAAAAAACCTGTTCTCGGTACACTTTGCCTGCCTCGACCTTACTTTCAATTTTTTATAGAACGCAACAACTTGTGCAACTTCAACATTCAATCACCTAGCTAGAAGGCACATTTCACACTGAAAACTCGGTTTGATAAACCGTCGGTACAAAAAATGTTCTCATATATTCTCCATAAGACCAGGTCTTTTTTACACAGTAGTCACCGTCTATGCATTTTACAGAAGTAAAAACCATAAGTCACATAAGGCAACAAATTCTACTCGCCAGCCGACAAAACCGATATCAGAGCGTCACACAAAATGTAGCAGGCTACACTTTACTGAGTGGTGCACCGAATATGGATAACCCCTAAAACAAACGACAAAATTACCATAGTTACTTGAATGATTACCAGCCTAGATATGCCCATTTAAACTTTTGATAATCTTATTGCATTTTGGTTCCGCCGATGAGCCTATACAACACTGTTACCTTCTTACAACATGTTTGCTCTTCGTGACTCGTCAACATCATTACTATATTTCCGCAACGCTGCATTTTTAACGATATTACAGTAACCTTCATAGTTTTTGACTGCTGCAGCTAGTTTTGTTCATGTAACTCATTATCTTCCGTCTTCATTGCCTCTTTGGTTTACAAGGTTGAATCAGAAACTCAAGTTCCATGTAATTAAGAGAAGTATATAAAATTTTAACTGTTCAAATTAACAATTACTCGTTTAAACAACAAAAATATTCCATTCAAAAAAGTGGTCAGTTGGAGGAAGTTCATAATAATATACAAATATTCAAAAAGTCAAAAACGACACAAAACGACGTTACACATGAGTAATTACGCTTTTAAATGACTTCCTATCGTGACATCTTTATGCGACCGTCTTTCAACAACTTTAACCTTCAATCTTCCCTTAACCTTCTTCTTCCTTGCTTCACATAAAACAGGCAAAACATTCCGTTTTTGGAAGCTTTTTAACCGTTCAGTAAGAATGCTACTCTGAAATTTGGAAATTATTCCGTCACACTCCTAACCATGAAATAAAAAAAGGGAGAGTTTACAAAGAGGATTATAAAGAATTAAAAGACTACCTGAGGTTCTAGCTGCCGCAATGAGCCTGACAGCTCTTCAGGCATTAGAAAAACTTTGTCTACATCAGTGAACTTTTTACGCTTGCCTTGTACGACCGTTAACTTCTTTAGCTTCTGAAAACCGTGATAAAATAGAAGTGAATAATCAAGGAATCGATTTGACAAATGCCTTAGGCAAAATTGTTGAAAGCTGTGAGGATCGTAAAGATCCTGCTTCTTGACCATTACCCTGTTCTTCCCTCGCAATTCAGAAATACGCTCTCGCTCTTTTAGCATTTTTGATATCTCCTTGTTTATGGTACGAGCTCTAAAAAATCAATTCTGACAGACCGTGAGAATGACATTAGGAGACGCTAGAACAAGCAGCACTAGACCATCGGTTTTCAAAAAAAATACAGAAGAGAATCTTGCGTCGCGTATCTAACACCGAGAGGCAGAAAACAAAATTCATCAGGATCAAAAGTAACTTAAAGAAAAGCTACCTGTAGACCATTTGCTCCGCAATCTTTGTTTCTCGTTCTTTTTCCTTCAACAACTTCTTTTCCCTTGCTAAACTTGATCGTTGAACTGCTTTCTTGGTCCTTCGTCTCAATTTCTTTTTTTCGGGCTTACCTTCTAATTATAAATAAGAAGAAATGAAGATGAAAAATGATAAACTCAAATAAGAACTAACAGCCGCTTTTATCTGGAAAAAAATTAAACAACTGGTCCAAAAAAAAAAAA